ATGATGTCTCTTGAAATCTGGCAGGTGTTTACCGGCCTTCATTCCCAGTCTGATCTAGCAAAGTCACTCACTTCAGTTTATATGTAAAAGACATGTATAAATTATTATATTCACATCTGATACACTAATAACTTTCCAGACCATACTGAAACAAGTATTATCAATAACTAATACATAGAAAAAAAAATTTAAAAATTGTAGTAACTGCCAAAAAAAAAAAAAGCAAAAAGTCTGGGGTGAAGATAAAGGGCTTACAGAACATAAAAAAATACAGGATTAATCAAGTTTTCAGATTTTCATGGCACTTTTATGTAATAATCCCGTCCTTTGATCTATTACAACAATTTCAAATAAAGAGCATTGTTTTTGACTGAATTTATGAATGTTGCATTTAGTACCATTATTGTAATTTTTGTTTTGTATGCCAATCCAAAGTTTAATAAGCCAGTAACATTAAAAACTAAACTTATAGTTTGGAATATAAATTTAGTTTAATTCTAGAGTTTAGAGCAACACACAACAAAACCTCAAAAGGTGCTATATTGTTTTGAAAGATACGACACTTTCTGATTGGTTGTCCTCTAGCATGTGACTACAAAGAAGCTCTCTAATTGGTTTCTGGCAGCATGTGCCTCTGATAGTGGCAATATTTGCAGGTTAGCAAAAGCAAAACTGTAGTATTTCTATCTGGCCTCCTACTCTTATTATTTTTTTTCTTTTTTTTAATTATTATTTTATTATTATCATTATTCTACTTACTTCTTATTCTACTTCTACTTCTTCTACTACTACTTCTTCTACTACTACTTCTACTACTACTTCTTCTACTACTACTTCTTCTTCTACTACTTCTTCTTCTACTACTTCTTCTACAACTACTTCTTCTACACTCTTCTACTACTACTTCTTCTACTACTACTTCTTCTACTACTTCTTCTACTACTACTTCTTCTTCTACTACTTCTTCTTCTACTACTTCTTCTACAACTACTTCTTCTACTACTACTTCTTCTACTACTACTTCTTCTACTACTTCTTCTACTATACTTCTTCTACTACTACTTCTTCTACTACTACTTCTTCTACTACTACTTCTTCTACTACTACTTCTTCTACTACTACTTCTTCTACTACTACTACTTCTACTACTTCTTCTTCTTCTTCTACTACTACTCTTCTACTACTACTTCTTCTACTACTACTTCTTCTACTACTATTTCTTCTCTACTACTTCTTCTCTACTTCTTCTGCTACTTCTTCTACTTCTACTTCTACTTCTACTTCTACTTCTACTTCTTCTTCTCCTTCTTTTTTCTTCTTTCTTCTGCTTCTACTTCTCTTTTTTCAAAATGCACAAAAATTAGCAGCTAATCGAGAGCAATAAATGAAATTGGTGTGGCCTAAGATTAGAAATGAAGATACTAAAAATATGAAACAAAAGATGCATACTAAGTAGAATAATTAATCTTTTCATTGATCAGCACACCCCATGCAGTAAAATAAGAAATCAGGAGTACCAGTACACATAACAAGGAACAAGAGAAACCTTTTCTTACGTCCTATCTCCACTACATCCCACAGTTCAACCTCCACGCTGGCTGCAGTATTGTTATAGTTACATTGGGCATTTCAAATTCCAGAATCCTGCACCTTTTGGTTCTGTACTCCCCACTTCCCACCTCTCCAGACTCACTTAGAAAGTTGTTAGTTTGTTTCCACACTGAAAAGCAGAATAAATAAATAAGTCATGAACATCTTTGGTTTTAGTTATACTCACAAATATCATTCTTATCCTCTGATACTCATTATAATTATTTCCATTTTCCACAAAAAAACATGTAACTTCAGAGTGAGTTCAATGAGGATTATTGTCTGAAATTACAGGCATGTCCAAAGCAAGCCTCATCTATACACACCTACTTCACCTTCAATAGCACTTAGCATCACATTTTCACATGGATTCCAAAGCTCTTTCCCAAAGTATATGCAGGAATCAGCAATATGCAGCCTATGTAATTCTATGTCATTTTATGTCTAAAAAAATCAAAACTGTCCAAAATTAGCTGATTTTACAATGAATGGCAACCATGACTTTACAGTGTACAGTACATGGAATCAGTAGATTAATAAAACATAAGGTTCTTTTAATTTATGGCATTTCCAGAGCAAATTACAAAAATATGCAACTCATACATATGCAGAAAGTGCAATTATAGTCCATATCTAAAAACCCATCATATTTGGTATCTACTAACAAATACAGCTGTAATATTCATCTAAATTAGTAGTTAAGCAAAAAATGGTGTAATTTGCTCAATATACCCAGACTGAGCCAGTGTCACAAGAGTTACCTCACAGAGCCTTCACCTCACCTGGCTCATGACATCACTCACTGAATGCATTCTCAAACCTGTCCATATCTATACTGCCAGTAGATGCGTTAAATATTTAACTCAGGTAAGAGGCCAAACTGATAACTTTGCTTCACTTACAGGGTCTAGTATAACATCACCTGGTGGCAACTAAAACCACAATATGTGCACACTAGACATTATGAATTCATAAATACCACATTTGATGGATTTTAGAATGGTTTAAATAAATAAAAGGGTAGTAGGATGCTTTTGAAATAAATTTTATAATTTGCCACTGGAAATCTAGGTAATTTTCTAGAATAGTCTGCCAAACGAATCGCAACAATTTGGTACCACTGGATTCCTCTCACTGTCTAGTTTCCAATTAAATATAAATGATTGTGCGGAAACCCCAAAATCCCCACATTCTTGCCCCAATAGCAGGGGAGGGCATGAGAGTACCAGGAAATTGGGGTAAAATGTAAATCATATACATAGAATCATTCACTATATTGTCTAATGCAGGGTTATGCCCCTGCAACCTTCTCATGGGGATTGCTCCCCCAACCACTGCCCAAGAAAACAAAGAATCTCACATATTCAGCAGAAGAGTGTGGGACAGACTTGGTAACGCTTCTCCCGCGTGGTGGTAGTCCACTCGTACCTACCGTGAATATGGAGGATACTTGTTTTCCTGGGCGGGAGAGGGTGGCACCCCATGAGGGGTCGCAGGGGCACAGCCCCCTGTATTAAGACAATATAGTGACTGATTCTATGTATATCTTTTACATCTAACCCAGCAATTTTCCTGGTACCTTTCATGCCCTCCCCTGATATCAGAGCCAAGAATGTGTGGACGCTTCTGCACATAAAACTTAATATTGCATTGTAGAGTGAGAGGAATCTAACGATACTGAAATCATCACAATCCATCTGGCAGATGTCTTCTAAAAAATTACCAAAATCTACTTTTTATTATTTTTTTGTGTGTCACTGGAAAATTATATTGGTAGTTTCTATATTACGTCCACCACTCCGACATTAACGATTTTGGTATCATTGGATTCCTCTCACTCTATACAATGCAAATAGTAGGTTTTATTGTGCAGAAACCCCCTATAGCAACAGACTGCCCCAATAGCAGGGCGACGATGTCAGAGCGGTGGACGTAATATAAAAATTACCCTAATAATATAACCCACAGTGAAAATAACCATGGTTATTCACATGACTTTCCATTGCAGGGGGCTTCTGCCCCCCCAAACCCCGCCAAGGAAACAAAGAATCGACCATGTCTTCACAGCAGGATAGAGCACACACAAACTAGATGCGGAGCCGATAACCTACCATAACCTAAATTTTAAGGTACTAACCTGATTAATAGATGCGGCTGATAGTAGGGAGAGTGCTCCTGAAATCGGTCTCCAAGTTGGAGCACCCTCCACATTCGGTCATCGCGCAGCTATGGCGGAGTACGACCGCTCTGGTTATTTTTTTGAATAGGAATATATGGTTCAGAGGGCAGGAAACTCGACCTTGAGCTACGTTCTTATACAATAGATGGCGACATAGTCACTTCAGTAACTATATGGATAATAACTGCCATCTATTGGCTGACTGTAATATACGTCTTACTAGTGTACATATATGATTCCACTCCTTCATCCAAGGCCATCGGTGTAACATCGAGAGAGGCGCAAAACCCACAGATGAGGTGGGCCACCACCACTCTTCTGTTCATGGTAAACCCTGTTCATCTTGATTATACTATAATCATGTGAATAACCATGGTTATTTTCAATTGGGTTACATTATTAGTGATATTTAACCCCGCATTTTTCCTGGAACCTTTCATGCCCTCCCCTGCTATTGGAGCCAAGTTTGTTGCTAAAGGGTTTCCCCCAATAAAACCTACATATTTACATTGTATAGTGGGAGGATTCCAAACGATACCAAAATCGTCGATGTCGGAGCAGCAGATGTAATATAGAAAATTAGTGTTATATTTCACTAACTTTATTTTCCTGATGAAACTTTGGATTATATCACTTCAGGGAGGCTTTTGCACATATATAGCAACAAAAGAATTTTGTCTTGGTATGTACTGTTCTATTATTTCATATATGTATTGTTACTCAACTCTGCTACCACATCCAATTGTATACTGTCCCATAACTATAAGAAATAATTATTTAATAAAGTTGAATACAAATCAGTATCGGACTCCTACCTCGGGCGGGCCAACCATCACTATTTTCACCTTATTCGACATGGCGTCTCACACGATTGCTCCAAATGTGTTGCAGTTTTCTTCCTCTTCACTGGTTACAATACTTTTTCTATAATTACTTCGTTTTTTTAGCGGTATTTCGAGAGATCCTGTCTAAACACAGACGGAAAATTTCAAAGTCCGTTCTTTACCTTCTGTGGAATGGCAGCGACTGCGGTCCTAAGTCTTTATTTTTTTTAAACATGTCTCTTTCTAGTGCGTAAACACCTTTAATGAATTTAGCCTTCTTTTTAACTGAAGATTGTTATTTCACACGATATACAAGATATTTACGTGTATTCATTTAACATGCGTTCAGTAATTATTTTTAGAAGGTAATCCAAATAATTTTAGACCCACCGTCCCTCATATCCATTTGTTTACACTATAAGCGCCAGAAAGATGAAAGGCGATTTAATTCCTTATTTCGGGTTTCTTCACAATTTTAATGGCACTGAACTCAACTAGCGGGCGTATCTGAAGCTATTCAGACACAGGAGCAGACGAAAACCATGTAGCTGTCAAGTGTAACGATTTTATTGGTGATTCAAGAAGTAGCTAATGGTCTGCTCGTCCGCAACCGCTTCGTTAAAGGCCATTTAGCTTCTGTCAAGTTGTTGCAATTGCCAAGTTAAGCCATGGGGATACGAGAATGTTGTTCCGCCTTCTTAGGTGGACTTCCCGATCCCGCCCTGCCCCTTATGCCCTCAATGGCTTTAGGCATGATATTTGCTGCTCTAATTCTTGTTATCTTCTACAAAAAGGAGAATAAAGTGCCTTTGAAAACTGCCGTCTTAGAGATCCTGAGGAAAGTGTTCTACCTCTTTCCGACTCCAGACCACTCAGAGTCACAGTCATGCAGGAACTCCAGCTGTGTCCGTTGCTCTAAATACAAGGAGCTGGAGCAACAAATTGCAGAGAAATGGAGAGCATTAGATACAAAGACTCAGGAGTCCATCTCACTTAGATTGCGTAATGCTGTGCAGACAGTGGTGAGGAGGTTGGTTCCATCTTCAGAAAAATTAGGTAAAGACAGAACAAGAACCTCGGAGAGAGAGAAATCACTTCGATCAGTCTTCCAGAAGCCCACTATATTCCCCATGGATTTAGCAGCCAACCCTTACTGGAACGAGTTCGATGTCTACGGGATGGAACTCAGACTCCTGAAGCTCAATTTTAGCATCATATTGAAGGAATTTGAGTCTGTCTTTGAGGCTCTGAAGGGTGGTGACAACTGGGGCTGGAAACTGAATGATATCCCTCGTGGTCATTGGTGCATCTTCCCCTTCATTGACCAAGGTGTTGTCAGTGAGTCAAATTGCAAGAGATGCCCCAACACATCAACTATGATCGGGTCATTGCCATCAGTCATGAAGGACTGTGTTTTTGGCAATGCCTGCTTCTCAGTGCTGTATCCTGACTCACACATTGAGCCTCACTATGGCCCCACCAATCTAAGATTGAGGTGCCATTTAGGTAGGTTGATATTGGTTTTATTTTTGTTTTTTTATTGTTATTCATATTTCATACAGATAAGGTCATTACCCTAAGTTTTTAGATTTCATTCTATAGTAAAGTTTTTTATACATGTATTATGATTTCTGTGTGATCCATGATAGAAAAATATAGGTATACTATGGGTGCAACCTAGAATATGACTCATTGTCATAATTTTATTTATTTATAAAACAAAATGTGCCTGTTTCTTTTCTCTCCCTTTATATCTGTTTTTATCCCATACCTTTTCTACAATACCAGCTTTGTCTTAAAAAATAAGATTGATGAACTGGACGAGATCAGTC